GCAGCGCTGCAGCCTCGGACCCGGCCCGGGGGCCGGTCCCGGTCACCGGGTTCAACGGGGGGGGGCGGGCCGCGCCTGGCGCCGCGGGGGGCCGCAGTTTGTTCGCCGGGAGCCCGTCAGCCTGTGACTCAGTCGGACCTGCCAGTGACAATGCGCTCGCCGAAGGCCCGGAACACGTGACCGTACGGTCCCTGGGCCTCAGCAACTGGCCCTTGCCACGGATCGGACGGCCGTGTACGGTCCGCGCCCGCCGGGTGACGGTGACCATACGGTCCCGGACAGTCCCTGGGCCGCCCGGCGCGGCCCGGAGTACCCGGGGTTTGGAGTCACGGTCCCGGGCCTCTGCGTCAAACTTTCAGTGAACTTGAATCGTCACGATTCAGTGAAGCCGGCCCGGGCCCGCGGTGCGATCGGATCATCCCTGAGTACCGGGCGGCCGGCCCGGCCGCCCAGCCTCCGTATTCCGAGTGCCGCCCGGCGCCTTGCAACACTGACGAACTTTCAAAGCATGCACTTAATTGTAATGAAACGTGAGGAGACAACTTTTTGCGAATAAATCATAATTTTTATCTGTTTTGCGAATAAATCATTATTTTTATCTGTTTTTATAAATCAATTTATAATTTCAATGATTTTTATATTCAATCAAAAAATCTGTTCATTGCTCTTTATTTTCTTTACCAAATCCCTATCATATTTTATTCAATTGAAATAATAGCTGCGCATTGGTGCGGATTATCACACAAAATAACCAAAAACAAACGAGCGCACCCACGGAGTGGGCCAGAGCCAAAACATAATATTAATTAAAATTATGAATCCTTCAAGGATCATATAAGTAATAAAAAAATCAATGTGGGGTGAAACCGCAAAATATTAAACACGTTGTTTTTGCGAACCCCCCTAAGTAACAAAATAATCTATCCCCGCCGCCACCCTCCGCCCCCTCCGCCTCTACCCCCCGCCTATTTCACATAACGGCTTAATTTTTCTTTTCTTTATTTTTTCCGCTCTATTACATGCTTAATATATTTGGCGGGGGGGACGGGGGGGGAAACTCCATTTTTCCATAGCTATATATATATGCCCACATGCCGGATGGTCTAAATATATTTATCCTCAAAATCACGATTTTACCCCCCGCCCCCCCCCGCCTTACGTCTATTTACCCTACGTTTACCATTCTTTCACACTCCACCACAGCCAAAACATGGCGGAGGGACCCACCCGCCTACCTCCCCGCCTACCCCCCGCCTACCCCCCGCCTACCCTCCGCCTACCTCCTTTTTATTAAAATCCCTTTATCATTACCATTATTATACTAAATTATATTCTTTATTTTATTATTATCTATCTTTCTTTATTATAAATGTCTTGTGACAATAGATATCAAAATTTATATCAATATGTCGGCACTACTAATAACACCACCCCAATTAAAAAAACTATGTATTTATTTTTATAATGGTTCCGTCTCAAGGTCATAACTGATAGGACCAATTGGCAAATATTCATCATCATCATCTTCTTCTTCTGAATCTTCAACGGTATGTTCAATCTGAATATTTTCCATCAAATATTCATATAATACTTGAAAGGCACAATGTATTGTCAATCTCTTTATCTTCTGTTCATCACTTAAACCTTTGAGATCAGGCTCTCCATAGGTGCCTATATAATCAATTAATGCGCTTAGTTGGTTCTTGTGCTCGAATATTACTTTTTCATCTTTTTTGGTCATATGATGACTTGTATAAGTATCGACACTAATAAGCACCACGTCATAATATTCTCCCTCATCTTCCCATGCCACGGTATCATATGACATATAGAAGCTTTCACGTACCTTATCGAAGATCTCATATAAGATCTTATTAAAGGCCCTATTGGTTGTCTTGTTCAATTCAATGCTCATTGTTTTGGCTGCGGTATAGTGCTGAGATTCAACCCTGTTTCATTTTTTTGTTACTGATATAATAAGATTTTTCTATGTGATGCTTTTGTTGCCTATGCCAAAAGGTGGGTTGCCTGACCAGCCATAACACATATAAAACCTCTATGATCTACACATCTGGCCATAGCATAGACTAATACCCAAAAAAAAAGGATTCCTTTATTATAAATAAATATGAGTTGCTGCCGTAACAGTGATAAGCCGCCATATCAATTTATAGGCAGCACAAATGGCACAACTCTAACGCCTATTTTTAATAAGATAAATTCAAATATCAATGTACTTTATGGTAATGTAGATATCCTTAATCAAAAGACTAACGATCTAGAAATTATCACCATTGAAACAAGCAATAACTTGATAGAAACTAATGATTTATTATTTATCACTAGCAATAATTTAATTGAAACAAGCAATATATTATTTGCCACATCAAATTTTGTTCTAGATCTGCAATCTCTTATCAAATATAATGCTGATACTAATGAAACCATTATAACAAACAACAATAGGAATATATTATATGTCAAATATCAGACTAATCCTAATAAATATATCATTAAATTCACACTTGAAAATGGCTCATTTATTACAATCCAACAGATTAAACAACAATTAGATGATTTAAACAACAATGCTGCCGCGCAAGAAACCGCAAATGCTGCCCAATCCTTAGAAGATTTGGACGATACGGCTGAAAATGGTTTTAATTTATTCAATGGGTTGGGCGAAATTGTTAAGGGAGGTCTTGCAATTGGAACGGGCTTCATTGGGGGATTGATAGCGTCAGGAACAAACACCTCAAAAGCTGATGGCCTGTTTATTCTCTCGTGGATTAATGTTTTAAGATTATCATTAGGTGTTGTTATCTCTGTTCTTGAAGATGAGGTTATAAATACTAAATTACAAGGTAGAGTCATTAAAATATATTCTAGGAATCTCACAGATGGTCACAAGCTTGATTTAGTCCCTAATCAGGCATTTATATATGACGACACTTATAAAACTCTTGTCATTAATGGACAAGAACAGACAGTTTTAGACGAAAGAAATATTGTTTTTCAAGGTGAAGAAGTAATAACATTAGGCAATGAATTAACACAAGATGAATTAAATGAATTTGTATTTGGCAGCAATTATGAACTGCAAACATTAAAGCAATATAAAACAATATTCAAAGGTAAAACTCTTTTTATTGATGATATTATTGTCCCTAATATCTATGACAAAAATGAGATAGATGATATAATTGATAATACATCGAACATATTATATAATCACATATACGATGAGTCAAATGTACTATTTGATCATATATTGACTGAGTCCAATATACTATTCACCAAAATATATGAAGAATCAAATGTATTATATAATCACATAAGAACAAAACATACAGCAAGCACACTTATAAACGATGTCAAACCTGGGTTTATAGGCAATCTTTATTTCAATGACAATCAAGAATGGGAATTATCAACCGATTTCTACACAAAACAGCAGGGATTAGATACATTTCTATCATATAAAAATCTGGCAAGCTCAAACTTCCTAAAAACGGATGTCTATGCAAATTATCTCAATAGCTCTAATTTCCTAAAAACTGATGCCTACACAAATTTTATCAACAGTTCAAATTATGTCAATCAAACCCAAATGGCAAATCAATTTGCTCTAATTGGCGAATCATTCACAACAAAGAAGCTAACAGTAACTGGTCCTGATAGTCTATATATAGCCGATATCTTCCTAAAATTACAGGGCAATCAACTAATAGCACCGAACTATATTAAAAATCAATTGAATGATACATACACAGTCACTTATGATAATTGGGACTTTTGGAGTGGTGGTTCTCCTTATGAAACAGTGCCAACATATCCATCTCAAAACAGGGAATGGGTCAGGTATTATTTCGCTAATAGAACAACTGCTATCCCAGACAATTTTTATATCGAATGTTTTGACATTAGTTTTACGAATAAATTCTCTATCTATTTTTATTATCAATTTAGACCAAGTACAAATTTTATGAACCGCAAATATTACAGCGGCAAATACAATCTTTTCAATTACTATTTAGGTGGTTTAACAACCGAGAATATACCTAATAATAGAGGGTTTATTTGTTATCTAGATTATCAAATAACACAAGATGGCTCGCTAAATATTACCAACATATCTCTTGATTTAGTGTTTGAGATATATTATAAGAATACAAACAATGTTTTAAGCTACGAGAAGAAGACCATAAATATAAATGAATTTGCTTATGTTTATCCAAATATTGGCGGCCCTGTTTTTAGTGTTCAAAATAGTCGCATCGCTGAACTAAATTTTTATTGCTTTGTTCTCCGTGAAGATGGAACCATATTTTATACAATACGCAATCAATTTGAATTGAAGATTGAGGGGACAACGCAAATAACAAATTTTAAAGAGTTATATAATGTCAATGATAATAATCATTTTAGAATAATAGACCACGAGCAAGGGCCAACAGGTCAAGAGGCTATAAATTATTCTAATAAACTTGATTTAATAGCAATAAGCAAATCTATATCTTGGACCCTTGAGACCATAAATCTATTTTGGACTGAGAACAAGTATTCTGATGCTATCAATCAGATATTTAACAACGATTTATCGGCAAAGATTAGCGGTAAATTAGAGGTTGATTTTATAGATATTAAAAGGGGTAATCTTAGCGTTATAGATTTGAGCACGCAAACGGTTGTAGCTCAAAACATGTCTGTGCAAAATGTTGATATATCAACAGTTGCCACAAGCCTTATCACAAGTGGTGGAGTTGGTAGGAGGAGTTTATCTCTAGGAGGAACAACGGCAGTCACAAAGGTGACTGATATATATGATGACCAAAATAGAACCGGAATTGTTAAGATAGCATATGATAATACAACACAACAAAACATATCAACAATAGAAAATTTTCAATTAAACTTTACAAATACAAAAGACGGGAATGTTTCAATTACATTAGATAATTATAATGATGTTAACATTGCCTTGCCTGATGGTATAGCAGGGCCACAAGGCGCAACAGGACCGCAAGGAGCAACAGGACCACAAGGAGCAACAGGACCACAAGGAGCAACAGGACCCCAAGGAGCAACAGGACCACAAGGCGCAACAGGTCCCCAAGGAGCAACAGGACCACAAGGAGCAACAGGACCCCAAGGAGCAACAGGACCCCAAGGAGCAACAGGACCCCAAGGAGCAACAGGACCCCAAGGAGCAACAGGACCCCAAGGAGCTACAGGAGCACAAGGACCAGCAGGAGCAACAGGACCAACCGGAGCCACAGGTCCAGCAGGTCAAGCCGGCATCAATTGTCCAGAGATAATATTATTCGATAGTCAAAATAATGAGCTAGTAAGATTTGGCGATTCAAGTGTTTCATCTCAAAACGTAATATTACCTAACCCAGCAGGAGGAGACGGAACAGTATATTCATTTGATACAGATGACTTTTATCTAGATTTAAGTAATAAGGTTTTTATTTTAGGCGGTGAAGGGGTTATAAATACCTATAACACAAGCGACAATAATCTTAATATTTTCTATAACAAAAATATCAAACTAAAATTAGGAATATCAACATATGATTTCAATATCTATAATGATATTTATTTTTACAAAACATTATCTAATGCTTCATATCTAGTTAAAAAAAATAACAATGTTGATATTACACCTTCTTTGTTTGTATGGTATAAGTTCAATAATGACACAAAAGATTCAATAAATGGATATGATTTGAATACTAAGTCATTTGGTGCATATGCAATATTACCTACAACATCGCCTACATATACCATAAATAATATTGATACTAATTATGCCTATATATTATTTCCTTGTGTTTCACCAACACAATCTATTGCCACAATAACTTTTAATGACACAATGATTATTGATGTTTTAATTGTTGCGGGTGGTGGTGGTGGTGGAAGCAATGGAGGAGGTGGAGGAGCTGGAGGAATTATTTATCTTACGGGTTTATCTGTATCTAGTGGGACAGTTAAAATAATAAAGGTCGGAGCTGGTGGAGCTGGTGGAATAAGTAATGGTAATGGTGTGATAGGTTATAATAGTGAATATGATACAAATCAAGCTAGAGGCGGCGGCGGAGGGGGTGGTTTAACGAGTAAATATGGTAGTAGTGGTGGGTCTGGTGGTGGGAGTATAGGGGTTTTGTATGGTGGCAATTGGGTAACTGGTCAAGGAAATTATGGAGGATATAGCTCAGCATCTATGACAACCGCAGCGGGTGGCGGTGGTGGTAAGGGTGGTGCTGGTGGTATTGCCTCGTCAGGACGAGGAGGAAATGGCGGGTCTGGTTCTTCATATAATTTAAGAGGTGCAAATATCACTTATGGCGGAGGTGGAGGAGGCGGGGGCGATTCAACGTATGGTTTAGGTGGCAGTGGTGGTGGAGGTCGAGGTGGTACAATATCAATGGGTCCACTGGCTGGTTCAAATGGCTTGGGTGGTGGTGGTGGTGGTAGTAAAAGTTCAACAGTCGCAGGAGGAAGAGGAGGCGATGGAGTTGTAATCATAAAGTTCAATAGATTGACAAATTATTCTGATTTTTCATTTCAGAATAACGATGTCGTAAGGTTAAACTATAGCATATTATCATTAAATGTAACAACTCCTGCAATAAAAGAAACATCATCAACTGTGCCACTAATAACAAGCACAAATAATGATATTTGTATAAGCTTTTGGTTAAAAATAACTGGATTTCGAACACAAAATGATGAAAAAATTATAACTAGTTTGAATAATGCGATATATATCAAGAGAAACAATGGTGATTTTTATTTTACTTTTGATAATGGTAATAATATATCTATTGTATCTGGAAAATATAGTGTGTCAGACTGGCAACATTTTGTATTTCAAAAAAATGATTTGACATCAGAATG